TCACCGCCCACTTTATGCAAGGCTAACACATACAAACAGTGCGACGGGCCCCAAGCGATTATCCCAATTAAGAGCAAACTCTGCTCGCCGGGAACTATTTTGTCTTCCATACGGCACATTTCAGTAAAGGGTCACCCCCCGTCGAGATCGGCTCACAATCTATATTTCAGGAAATCCAAAAAAAAAAAAAAACAAAACGGGGGCGCGTGGTCGCTTTTCCCTCTTCTTGTCAACTGAGACAACAGAACACGACGCTGCAATAATATCGAGGGAATGCACAAGTAACTTTGCCAAATTACCTTGATTGAGATCGCGGTACTCCCAAAACCAACCCCGTATTTCTCCCAGACGACCGTCTCTTTTTGACTCTGTACCTCTTTCCAAAGCGCTTACCCAGTGAACAGCTCCTTCTCACCTGGCTAAACGATACCGCTTTTCCTTGTTAAGATCCAAAATCTCCCAGACTGAAAGGCGTCGGCGGCGCTGGACGGGCGAGGGGCAAAGCCAGCGCGCGTTGGCTCGGGCGGCGGCGGGTCTCCGCGTCTCGTCGCTGCAGCCCGCTGTCCCCCCCGCTCCGGGCCGGCGAGTGGCGGGGCGCCCACCGGCGCGGGTGAGGACGCAGAGACGGCCCGACGCCGGCCCGCGCCTCCACCCGCACCCGCGGCGCCCGCCTCTCTGCACGTCGCCCTCCCCGCCTGCAACCCTCAGACCGCCCTCCGCCCGGACGGCTCGCCACGCCCGCGCCTTTGCACTGAGACTCGCAGTGGCTCGCCGCGCTCCTCCAGCCGCCTCGCTCCGGGTCACTCACGGTGGGCTCGACTCCCCGCCCCCCGGGCGTCCCCTCAGCCCGCGCCGCCGGCAGGGTTTCGGCCGCTCCGTGACCGCGCACAGGGCACGCGGGAGCTGCAGCCTCGTTCTACAGCGCACGCGGCGCGGCGGGGAGCCGGTGGGCTGAGGATGAAGCTAAGCTTTTAGGGGCAGCCGCTCCGCTAAGATCTCTTTTATTCAACATATTCGTCATTACTGCGCGCCGGGCGCGGTGGCTCATGCCTGTCAATCCACGCACTCTGGGAGGCCGAGGCGGGCGGCACTTGCTCTAAGGTCAGGATCATACCACAGCTGAGCACCAGCGGGAGACTCGTCCTCTCCTACTATAGCCAATATCAGAAAGAAATTATCTGGCTAACTACTATGATCACGAGAACAACAAAAATTAGCCGGGCATGGTGGCGCATGCCTGTAGTCCCAGCTACTGGGGAGGCTGAGGCAGCAGGATTGCTTCAGCCCAGGAGTTTGAGGTTGCTGTGAGCTAGGCTGACACCACAGCACTCACTCTAGCCTGGGCAACAAAGCAAGACCCTGTCTCAAAAAAAAACAAAACTTGTCATTACTTTCTTTGTTTTTATAGAAAGTAACTTGCAACTAAGTGTGCTACCGATCTGCCAAAACTTTAGGGTTTTGTTTAAATTAATGAGATGCAATTGCCCACGCAGGCAGGGCCATTAATTAGTCTGCCAGTATCATTCACAGCAGCCTCAAGGAAAAATTAAGGACCTTACAACACCGGTCTCTAAAGAAGTGCCCTCTGCCCTCTTGGGCTCTCCTTCAACTGTTGGGGAAATATTAGTTTTTAAAAAAATCTTCTCCTGGTGGGGCGGGTGACTCACACCTGTAATCCTCGCAGTCTGGGAGGCCAAGGCAGGAGGATTGCTTGAGCCCAGGAATTGGAGAGCAGCCTGAGCAAGAGTGAGACCCTTTCTCTACAAAAAATACAAACATTAGACTGGCATGATGACACGCTCCTGTAGTCCCAGCTACTGGGAGGCTGAGACAGCAGGATCACATGGGAGGTCAAGGTTGCGGTGACCTGTTACGAGGCCACTGCACTACAGCCTGGGTGCCAGAGTGAGACCCCAACTCCAAAAAGAAAAAACAAATCTTCTGCTAACCCAGAAAAGCTCCACAAAGATAGTAGAGTAAGAAAACAGTTTTATTACTGAATATGCCTTGAACCAGAATGGGATGCGCATCACAGGCGATGTGCTGCGCTTGCAGAGACAGAAAGGAATCTTACCCCTTTGTGTAGCCCAGTAGATACATTAAGTACATGTTCTCAAGATAGGCAATCACCAGTCCTCAAATAAGAGGACTTGACAGCACTTTTGTCAATCATAGTTCCTCCTAACTTTATCACAGTGACTGGGGAGACCACTCAGGTTGGCTTTATCCAGAGGAGAAACAAACTTCTATCTTTACATACCTGGTTCGTGTTGCAAAATGGAGTGAGGTGCCCACCAAGTAAGGCTGTTGGGCTCCCATGGGAACTGGGAAGTAGGAACACTAACTCCCTTCATGTTTGTATTTCAAAAAGATCACTCTGGCCGGGCGCTGTGGCTCACGCCTGTAATCCTAGCTCTTGGGAGGCCGAGGCGGGCGGATTGCTCAAGGTCAGGAGTTCAAAACCAGCCTGAGCGAGACCCCGTCTCTACCAAAAATAGAAAGAAATTAATGGACCAACTAAAAAGATATATACAAAAAATTAGCCGGGCATGGTGGCGCATGCCTGTAGTCCCAGCTACTCTGGAGGCTGAGGCAGTAGGATCGCTTGAGCCCAGGAGTTTGAGGTTGCTGTGAGCTAGGCTGACGCCACGGCACTCACTCTAGCCTGGGCAACAAAGTGAGACTCTGTCTCAAAAAAAAAAAGGAGAACTACAAAAAGGCATTTTTGTTCATAGAGCCAGTTATATGTGCATCTATGTATGTGTTTGCGTGTATGTATTTAGGTACATAACCTGTGTCGTACCACTCAGGTCTCCCTAGCCCAGGCTGTGCTCTTTGTACTTACAGTGACTTGGTAAAGAGGCTCAGGTGGGGAGAGGCACGTCTCTCTCTCTCCCCTTGTCTCCTTGACTTCCATAACCATCTGGACATTTTAACATCTGATTTCTACCTCTAGATGTTCTACAAGTGCTGGGTCTGAATCAGTGACCTTTTTTTTTTTCTTTTAACAGTAACCATTACCAGAAGAAAGGAAACATCTGGACACCTAACCTCATGACACTGACACCTAACAGGTTTCATTTCCTGCCCTGTTCACACATTTGGGGTGGATCTTGACCTACATTCTTTTCTAAGACATAGGCGTGTGACAGTGACTCTCAAAACGACAGCCTGCAGCAGTATTTAGTAGTAACTTTTGTTGTCTTGCTCTACCTGCTCTCACTGAGTTTGTCTTACCCAAAAGAGAGGTTCTTGAAAATTAATGTGTAAATGGAATTTGGGGTGAGACAAATATTTTAAAGGGCATCTGGGCCGGGCGAGGTGGCTCACGCCTGTAATCCTAGCACTCTGGGAGGCCGAGGTGGGCGGATTGCTAGAGGTCAGGAGTTCCAAACCAGCCTGAGCAAGAGCAAGACCCCATCTCTACTATAAATAGAAAGATATTAATTGGCCGAGTAATATATATATATATAAGAATTAGCCAGGCATGGTGGCGCATGCCTGTAGTCCCAGCTACTCCAGAGGCTGAGGCAGGAGGATTGCTTGAGCCCAGGAGTTTGAGGTTGCTGTGAGCTAGGGATGCCACAGCATTCACTCTAGCCTGGGCAACAGAGTGAGACTCTGCTGTCTATAAATAAATAAATAAATGGCATCTGAAGAAATTGCAGAAACAGTATTTTTTTTTTTTTTTTAGTTGGCCAATTAATTTTTTTCTCTTTTTCAGTAGAGACTGGGTCTGGCTCTTCCTCAGGCTGGTTTCGAACTCCTGACCTTGAGCGATCCTCCCATCTTGGCCTCACAGAGTGCTAGGATTCAGGTGTGAGCCACCACGCCCGAGAAGCAGTATTCTTTAACAGTGACTAACTCGTCCTCTATTTCAGTTCTCCTCAAACTTTTTGGACCCCAAACAGCAGTAAGAAATACACTTCACACCACCCCAGGACAACATGCATATATGTTACTACATGAGACACATTCTGAAATTTTTTCCGAATCTCTTCCTGTAAAAATGCTGGTTGCCAACCACTAAAACTAATGTCATGACTCCTTCATGAGTCTCAGCCTAAAGTTTGAAAACACTAATACTAATCTAAATAGTTTATTAGTCAGGATGTTTCTGTTCTTATTTTGGTTATTTGAGCCTATAACACTGCTTAACTGCCTACATGTCGCCTCCTGCCTGGTGGAGAAAACCTAGTGCCTGTGATAAACACGGAGAAGCACTTACTGTTCTAGACTCTGTGGTGGGAAAATAGCAAAGAAAAGTTCACCGCAGCTTTATGTTTCTACTGCCAGCATCGGGGACTGATAACCTCTGGGTTTCCTCAGACCTAGAAATTAATCTTCCCTCTGTGGTAGCATTTTTGAGGGAGTGAAACAGAAGTTTTCTTCAGCTCTTTCTTCCCATACGCCTTCTGAGTTCTTTTAGTTGTTTTTCTTTCCTTTTCTTTTCTGTTTTTTTTTTTTTGCCTTTTTTTTTGCGCCACTTCCTTTCTCTCAGTGACTCTTCAAAGAGAGGTATTCAAATCTGCAAAACAATTAAATTACTCAAGACCTAGATCTAGATCTTCCTTTTAAGTTGATGTTCTCTCAACTAACCACCTTCAGCCCAGCCAAACAAGGGACACCAGGAGAAAAATTTAGAGTGAAGGATGCACAAGAAAAGGTAAGTTATTACTAGAAGAAAGGAACAGAGGCAACTTAATATCGGTTGGTATCGGTTGAGGGAACGACTATTCTGTTTTGGCAGGGCATTCTGCTAGGCTGACCGATGCCCGGGTGGCAAAGCCAGCCAGCGCCTCACCTGGCGCTTTGAACCCCGCGGCAGCTCCAGGTCCAGGGGACGGGGAGGGATTGCGCCTTCCTTTCGCTTTCTCAGGCCACAAACTTGACACCTGGGGCCAGAACTACACTTCCCACCACGCAGTGAGGCAGGAGGAAGAAAGGGCAGAGAGGTCTGAAAAGGAAAAGCAGTGAAAAAAAGAGCAAGCATTACCGGCTTGCTGGCAGAGGTGAGAGACCTCGAGGCAGGTAAGCAACAGGTGGACCAGGAAGGCGAAGGCTGCAGGTTGCAGGATGGAGGGGCGGCATGGGGCGGACGCTGCCTGCTTCTCAGCGTGCAGGCTGAGTTAAAGGGGGCTTTTGTGAAAGTCGTTGGGAGTGGGGGGAGGGGCGGCGCGGGCAGGGAAGACATGGAAATAGGATCTCAGCTCAAGTTACGGTGATAAGGCACCGGAAGTGGAATGACTTTATTTAGTTGAAAAGTCAGAGGAGGAAAAAGTGGTTTGATTATGTCTCTTGTCTGCTGGATCTTTTAGCCATATGTGATTTCAGAGGCATCCGCAAGAGATATGGAATCCTCCTTCATCCCTTTAAAGCCCTGGGTTGTTACTCGCAGATTGGATATTTGTGTGCATTTGACTTTGTGTGATGATATAGACTTGCCCTTTTCTATGGCTTAAGGGAGAACCAAAGAGTAAATTGGGAAATGAAGAAGGGTGGTACAGCACAGGAGCGGTTTGCAGCACATCACATTTAATCCTCAAATGGGATACGGTTTCAGTGACTTACACCAGCTGTTTGATGAGAAGACCTAACACAATATCCCTTGAAGAACAGTTACAGTGTCTGGGGGACATTTGCCTTGAGGGGAGGTGCTTGCTGCACCAAATATCTGACGGGCTGTTATGTGGAACGGGAATTTGGAGTGTCCTGGCAGAGTGAGCATAGCACTGGGCTGGACAGATGCAAACCCCAGGGAGGCTGGTGTCAACCCCACAGAAGTGAGAGCTGCCTAGTGCAAAGTGGCATTTTCCCAGGCGGTAGTGAGCTCCTTGTAGTAAGCAAAAATAGTGAGCAAAATATTGAGTAAAAATATTTAAGCATAGGTGCATATGTAAGCGGGACTGCTAAAGGTGGGAATAAAGTTTCACATGGGGGATTGTGTTGATTACTGTTTTGCAAACCTGGACGCTTATCAGAATCACCTACGTATGTGGCAAGAGAGGGAGAAAAGGAGTTTTGTTTTTTTTTAAATATGTTTTTAAGGCCGGGCGCGGTGGCTCACGCCTGTAATCCTAGCGATATATACAAAAAATTAGCCCGGGCATGGTGGGCATGCCTGTAGTCCCAGCTACTCGGAGGCTGAGGCAGAAGATCATCAAGCCAAGGAGTTTGAGGTTGCTGTGAGCTAGGCTTGACCCACGGCACTCACCTCTAGCCTGACAACAAAGGAGACTCTGTCTCAAAAAAAAAAACACCGCCCGGCCTGGGGTGGATCTTGACCTACATTCTTTTCTAACGACATAGGCGTGTGACAGTGACTCTCAAAACGACAGCCTGCAGCAGTATTTACGTAGTAACTTTTGTTGTCTTGCTTACCTGCTCTCACTGAGTTGTTACCAAAAGAAGGTTCTTGAAAATTAATGTGTATGAATTTGGGTGAGCAAATTATTTTAAAAGGCACTGGGCCGGCGAGGTGGCTCACGCCTGTAACCTACTAGCATCTGGAGGCGGTGCAGATTGCATAGAGGTCAGGAGTTCGCAACCCAGCTGAGCAAGAGCAAGACCCCATCTCCTACTATAAATAATGAAAGAAATTAATTGGCCGAGTATATCAATATATATATACAGAATTAGCCACGGCATGGTGGTGCCATGCCCTGTAGTCGCCAGCTACTCGAGGCTGAGCGCAGGAGAGATTACTGCAAGCCCAGGAGTTTGAGTTGCTGTGACAGGACCTGACACCACAGGCATCACCTCTAGCCCTGGGCAACAGAGTGAGATCACTCTGCTGTCTATAAATACAAAAATAAATGGCACTCTGAAGAAATTGCAGAAAACAGTATTTTTTTTTTTTTTAAGTTTGCCAATTAATTTTTTCTCTTTTTCAGTAGAGACTGGGTCTGGCTCTTCCTCAGGCTGGTTTTCGAACTCCTGACCTTGAGCGATCTCACTCACAGGTCTTTGCGAACACATTTCTGTGTTGTGAGACTGGTGAGAGGTTTAGTTAGCCATTATAAAGATTTATATACGTTTAAAAAAGACAGAAATTTTGAAAGAAAAGGGAAAGTGGGGAGAAGTCTCTTCCCTTATTTTCAATGGGACAATTAGGCTCTTATTTTTCATTTGTATTTGCCTTTACAAAACACAGGGTGGTTTTGTTTCTACCCATGCAAGGGTGTGGCTGGTGAACTATGATGTCAGGGTTGTAACAGAGGTAAAGGTCTAAAAAAAAAAACAAGGAAATGGTTCATGAGTTGTCTCTTTAAAACCAAAAAAAAAAATTGCATTCATTTCCAAGCCCAGTGATCAAAGGGGCAGAAAAATGTTCTTTGCTGTTTATTTTCTATTATCTTAAACCGTAGGAGATGTCTCAAAAAAAAAAAAAAAATTGTCCAGACAAAGGTCATAAGATTGTCCTCACCAGAAATAACCCAAGTCCAAAACTGATTATAGTTAAGCAACAATAGCCTGACACCGCAGCATGTGATACCACTCATGTAGACCGGACCACCGAGAAAACCACCCCTTTTAAAAGCCCTGTGTTTCTGCTCCAGGGCAGGATGGTGGTCTTTGAGATGCTAGTCTGCGGTCCTCCTCATTTTCCTCTTTCCTCAAACCACTTGTCCTCATTCTTCATTCTAATTGATTTGGCCTCAGGAACAAGTAGCGAGCATTCAGTAACAGGGTGAGCAAAACTAAAACAGCCAAATGTGTCACTTTTATTCTTAAAAATGTATCATCAGATTCCATTTCTATTTTTTTGTCTGTTTATTTGAGGGGGTTTTTTGGTGTTTTTTTTTTTTTTTTTTTGACAGAGTCTCACTTTGTTGCCCAGGCTAGAGTGAGTGCCGTGGCATCAGCCTAGCTCACAGCAACCTCAAACTCCTACGCTCAAGCAATCCTTCTGCCTCAGCCTCCTGAGTAGCTGGGACTACAGGCACGCGCCACGATGCCCGGCTACTTTTTTATATATATATTGGTTGGTCAATTAATTTATTTCTATTTATAGTAGAGACAGGGTCTCGCTCTTGCTCAGGCTGGTTTCGAACTCCTGACCTGGAGCAATTCTGCCTGCCTCAGCCTCCCAGAGTGCTAGGATTACAGGCATGAGCCACCACGCCCAGCCTGTTTGTTTGTTTTTGAGACAAAATCTCACTCTGTTGCCCTGGCTAGAGTGCCATGGCGTCAGCCTAGCTCACAGCAACCTCAAACTTCTGGGCTCAAGAGATCTTCCTGCCTAAGCCTCCCGAGTACCTGGGACTACAGGCATGTGCCACCATGCCCATCTAATTATATATATATTTTTTTTAATTTTTTTTTTAGTTGTCCAGCTAATTTCTTTCTAATTTTTTAGTAGAGTCAGGGTCTCATTCTTGCTCAGGCTGGTCTTGAACTCTTGAGCTCAAACAATCCTCTCACCTCAGCCTCCCAGAGTACTAGGATTACAGGCATGAGCCACCACACCTGGCCCGTTTCTATTTTAAAAGAAAGAAAAGTCCAACAAGGCGGCTCAGGCCTGTAGTCCTACCACTTTGGGAGGCCAAGGCAGGAGGATTGCTTAAGGTCAGGAGTTCAAGATCAGCCTGAGCAGCATAATGAGACTGTCTCTATTTTTAAAATAAATAATTAATGAAAATAAAAATATATTGTGGAATATTTTTTAGCCTTAAAAGAGAAGGAAATTCTGACACATGCTACAACATGGATGAACCTTGAAACATGCTAAGTGAAATATGAAATAACTTAGACACAAAAGGACAAATACTATATAATTCCACTTAAATGAGGTACCTAGAATAGACATATTCATAGAGACAGAAAATAAAATGATAGCTGGGCATGGTGACTCATGCCTGTAATTCTAGCATTCTGGGAGGCCGAGGTGAATGGATTGCTCGAGGTCAGGAGTTCGAAACCAGCCTGAGCAAGAGCGAGACCCTGTCTCTACTATAAATAGAAAGAAATTAATTGGCCAACTAATATATATAGAAAAAATTAGCCGAGCATGGTGGCGCATGCCTGTAGTCCCAGCTACTGGGGAGGCTGAGACAGCAGGATTGCTTGAGCCAAGGAGTTTGAGGTTGCTGTGAGCTAGGTAGACGCCACGGCACTCACTCTAGCCTGGGCAACAGAGGGAGACTCTGTCTCAAAAAAAAAAATGTTTTTAAAAAGACATATCTGGGATGGGCTCCAGGAATGTATTTTTTAATGATCTCCCCAGATATTTCTGATAATCTGTTCGGGAAACACTTTCAAAAAATATTTACATTATTTCCAACCTATGCCAAAACATGCCATAGTTTTGTTTTTGTTTTTGTAAGAAGGAATCTCACTATGTTGCCTAGGCTAGTCTCAAATTCCTAGACTCCAGCAATCCTCCTGCTTTGGCCTCCCACTGTGCCTGGCTCTCATAATATTCTAACCCGGTTTTAATTTTGAATCTTCTCAAAATCCTGACTTCCTGGTCAAGAAAAATTAGATGCCAACCAGAATAAAAATGCCACATCACTCATCCCCAAACTGACTTAACGGTCAAATCTTATTGGTTCTTGTTGCTGGTTGCCTGGGTGGTCAGTCTTCTAGCAGTTCACATGGGGAGTCTTCCTCCCCATGTGAGATTGACACAGGCAGGTCCTCTAAAGGAGGACCTGAGTCACTGAGTCACTATTGTGGGCATCTCCTCGCCATCCTCCTGCTCTCTGAGCACTCTGATGGAGCATGGGGCACCTAATCTCCAGGACTAGGGTTTTATCAATGCTTTTATCTGATAGTGACTGTCTACGGGCCCACTAGAGAATGACAGTAGAACCTCTTCATTCTGCGGCACATCTAAAGTAATGTCAACACACCTAGGGCAGTTGTGGCCTTGTGGGGGCAACTCCCCTGTGCCTGACCAGTCATTAGCATCTTTCTCCCATGAGGATGTTAGTACTCTGTCTTATCTTCTTCTACTGGGTCCCCAGTGGCTGGCGGCTGGTAGGTGCTCACTAAAAAGAAGCTGAATTCCTTCCTCTCCTCGTAGGTCTTTTCTAGGTGGCAAGAGCCATGCAGTTCTCCAGCTCATCCAGGGCAGAAGATGAGAACTTTGACTATTTGTTCAAGATTATCCTCATTGGGGATTCCAATGTAGGGAAGACGTGTGTGGTGCAGCATTTCAAGTCTGGGGTCTACACTGAGACACAGCAGAACACAATTGGGGTGGACTTCACTGTGCGCTCCCTTGAGATCGATGGCAAGAAAGTGAAGGTCAGAGGGGCACCGGGGCTGGTTCCACATCTTTCAGCCAGGGTTCCAATGCCAGAGCACATGGCTGAGTGATAAAAGATGCCAATGTAGGCCGGGCGCGGTGGCTCACGCCTGTAATCCCAGTACTCTGGGAGGCCAAGGTGGGAGGATCCTTTGAGCTCAGGAGTTCAAGGCCAGCCTGAGCAAGAGCAAGACCCCGTCTCTACTAAAAATAGAAATAAATTGGCTGAACAACTAAAATATATATATAAAAAATTAGCTGGACATGGTGGCGCTTGCCTGTAGTCCCAGCTATTCGGGAGGCTGAGGCAGAAGGATCACTTGAGCCCAGGAGTTTGAGGTTGCTGTGAGCTAGGCTGACGCCACGGCACTCTAGCCCAGGCAACAGAGACTCTGTCTCAAAAAAAAAAAAGTGCCAGAAAAAAACATGGAAGCATTTATTTTTATCATCATGGAATGGGGCAATCAGCCCCTTAATAAGACACACACAAAAAAAACCCAGGCCAGGCGTGGTGGCTCACGCCTGTAATCCTAGCACTCTAGGAGGCCCAGGTGGGCGGATTGCTCAAGGTCAGGAATTCGAAACCAGCCTGAGCAAGAGCGAGACCCCATCTCTACTATAAATAGAAAGAAATTAATTGGCCAACTAATATATATAGAAAAAATTAGCTGGGGCGCATGCCTGTAGTCCCAGCTACTCAGAGGCTGAGGCAGCAGGATTGCTTGAGCCCAGGAGTTTGAGGTTGCTGTGAACTAGGCTGATGCCACGGCACTCACTCTAACCTGGGCAACAAAGCGAGACTCTATCTCAAAAAACAAACAAACAAAAAAAAAAAAAAACAGAAGCCATAAGGGGAAATATTGTTAAATCTAACTATAAAGGCCAAATTTATTTATATATTTCTATATAACCTATATAAAGTTCAAATTTTCTACATATTCAAAAGATGCCATAAACAAAATCAAAAGATGAATGATAAATTGGAAATATTTGCATATATGGAACTGACAATGGGATAAAGATTAATTTCTTTTCTTTTTTTTTTTTTTTTCTTGAGACAGGATCTCACTCTGTCACCCCCGGCTGGAGTGCAATGGTGTCATCATAGCTCATTGCAACTTGAACTCCTCCTGAGCTCACACAATCCTCCTGCCTCAGGCCACACCACTGGCCAATTTTTTTTTTTTTTACAGATGGGGTCTGTATATTGTCCAGGCTGGTTTCAAACTCCTGGACTCAAACGGTACTCCCACCTCAGCCTCCCAAAGTGCTGGGATTACAGGCATGAGCTGCCACACCTGGCTGGGATAATTAATGTGAAGAACTCATAAATATCTAAGAAAAAAGAGCAATAACTAAATACAAAAAGTAGGCAACTCACAGAGTGGGCAATACTGCTTTTCACGAATTATATGAGAACTAGCTCATAAACATATGCAAAGACGCCCATCTTCTCTCTCAATTAAAGAAGTGCAAATTAAAATAACAGTGAGATACTAAATGTTTTACCAATTTGATTAGAAAAGACCTAAAGGTGTTGGTGAAAATGTAATAAATGAATCTCATTTATTACATTTCATTATTTATTACAAATGAGCAATCTCATTTGGGATTTTGGGAATCCCAAACAGTTTGGGAAAAACAACTGTAAAAAGACATTTTAGAGACTATCAGGAAAATTTTTGTATGGTCTGGTTATTAGATGATAACAAGGAATTGTTAAAAAGTTTATTATCAGTGATAATGGTGTTGTGGTTATGAAAGAAAGAAAGAAAAAGTCCAGGCAGGGTGTGGTGGCTCAGGCCTGTAATCCTAGCTCTAGGAGGCCAAGGCAGGCGGATTGCTCGAGGTCGGGAGTTCAAAACCAGCCTGAGCAAGGGCGAGACCCCATCTCTACGAAAAAAAGAAAGAAATTAATTGGCCAACTAAAAATATATATAGGAAAAATTATCCGGGCATGGTGGCACATGCCTGTAGTCCCAGCTACTTGGGAGGCTGAGGCAGAAGGATCGCTTGAGCCCAGGAGTTTGAGGTTGCTGTGAGCTAGGTTGACGCACTCTAGCCCGGGCAACAAAGGGAGACTCTGTCTCAAAAAAATAAAAAAGAAAAAAAAAGAAAAAGGAAAAAATCCATGTATGTAGGGATGTATATTGATGTGAGTACAGATGAAACAACATGAAATCTGGGATTTGCTTTAAGACAGTATCTCAAAGAAATCAGCAGAAAGGGCTAGATGAAACAAGTGGCAAACATCTCAATAATTATTGAATCTGGGTGTATGAGGGTTCATTTTTCTATTCTCTCTAGTTTGATGTATGTTTGTAAACTTTCTTTAAAAAATAAATTTAGTATAAATAGTATGAGAGTATAAAGAAGATGATACCCTCAATGTTGGAGGCTGTATTAATTGGTGCTACTGCTTGGGATGGCAATTTGGAAGGTGTTATTATGAGTACATTCCTAAACATAAGCAGCTGGAGTTTGGCCAGGTGTGGTGGCTCACGCCTGTAATCCTAGCACTCTGGGAGGCCAAGGCGGGAGGATCACTCAAGGTCAGGAGTTCAAAACCAGGCTGAGCAAGAGGGAGACCCCATCTCTACTATAAATAGAAAGAAATTAATTGGCCAACTAAAAAAATATATATATATATATAAATGAGCCGGGCATGGTGGCGCATGCCTGTAGTCCCAGCTACTCAGGAGGCTGAGGCAGGAGGATCACTCGAGCCCAGGAGTTTGAGGTTGCTGGGAGCTAGGCTGACACCATGGCACTCTAGCAGACGCAAAGAGTGAAACTCTGTCTCAAATAAATAAATAAATAAATAAACAGCTAGAGTGGTCCCTCAAAATCAAAACACTTCAGCCAATGCTATCACCTTTGCCCATATTCACATCAACAGGCAGGCTTAAAAGATGAACCCCAAAATCTGGCACAAGGGATGATTGCGGTGAAAAGTCAAAAGAAGATCCCAGGATAAAACAAGTCCACTTTTCCGAGGGAAGTGTCCCTTAGGTGGTGGTTCCCAAACCTGAAAGCACATCCAGGTCACCCAGAGAGGAACAGAAAGAATATGTTCCTGTGCCCCAACCCAGACCTACTGAGTCTGAATATGTAGACAGGACACCTGGGAAACTGTATTTTTAAGACACTTTAGGAAGGCCGGGCGCCGTGGCTCACGACTATAATCCTAGCACTCTGGGAGGCTGAGGCGGGGGGGATTGCTTGAGGTCAGGAGTTCAAAACCAGCCTGAGCAAGAGCGAGACCCCGTGTCTACTATAAATAGAAAGAAATTAATTGGCCAACTAATATATATAGAAAAAATTATCCAGGCATGGTGGCGCATGCCTGTAGTCCCAGCTACTTGGGAGGCTGAGGCAGGAGGATTGCTTGAGCCCAGGAGTTTGAGGTTGCTGTGAGCTAGGCTGACGCCACGGCACTCACTCTAGCCTGGGCAAAAAAGTGAGACTCTGCCTCAGGAAGAATAAAAAAAAAGACACTTTAGGTCAACAAGTTCCTATCACGCATGGGAACTACTGGTGTAAACCTCTTTCCTGTCCTCTCCAGATGCAGGTGTGGGACACAGCTGGCCAGGAGCGCTTCCGCACCATCACCCAAAGCTACTACCGCAGCGCCCACGCGGCCATCATCGCCTACGACCTCACCCGGCGGTCCACCTTCGAGTCCGTCCCTCACTGGATTCACGAGATAGAGAAATATGGAGCAGCTAACTTGGTCGTTATGCTAATCGGTAGGGTTTTGCCAAAGTGCTTAACTTTTCTTTTTGGTGGGGGGTGGGGGAAGGACAGAGTCTCACTCTGTTGCCCAGGCTAGAGTGAGTGCCATGACATCAGCCTAGCTCACAGCAACCTCAGACTCCTGGGCTCAAGCAATCCTGCTGCCTCAGCCTCCCAGAGTGCTAGGATTAGAGGTGTCAGCCACCATGCCCGGCCTTAACTTTTCTTTACTCCTCTCTGCCAATGCTATTCGATGACAGTAGAAAATGATATCTTAAAAGTGCAAGCAGTGGATGGGACCTCAGAAAGTACCCTGCTTAGAAATTCCCATCAGATTCGCTTAAGAGTGAGAGTGGGTTGGTGTGAACTTGTTAAAAATACACATTTCAAGGCCCACCCCCTAGAGATTCTCACTGGAGAGATCTGGGAAGGGGTCCAGTCACCCCAGTGGATTCTATGCCCATGGGCTATGTGGACAGCACAGGAGGAGGTACTATTGAAGTCTGATGTTAGCAAGTCAAGTGGCTCCAAAACCCCAGGAAGCCATTTGGATGAAGGAGTCTGCCTATATCCTAGAATGACTACTTACACCTCTTAGGATCCTAAGCAAATATTAACAGCAAACTGACATCAAAATTAACAGAAACTAGGCCAGGCGCGGTGGCTCACGTCTGTAATCCTAGCACTCTGGGAGGCCGAGGCGGGCGGATTGCTCGAGGTCAGGAGTTCGAAACCAGCCTGAGCAAGAGCGAGACCTCGTCTCTACTATAAATAGAAAGAAATTAATTGGCCAACTAATATATATAGAAAAGATGAGCCGGGCATGGTGGTGCATGCCTGTAGTCCCAGCTACTCGGGAGGCTGAGGCAGCAGGATTGCTTGAGCCCAGGAGTTTGAGGTTGCTGTGAGCTAGGCTGATGCCACGGCACTCACTCTAGCCTGGGCAACAAAGTGAGACCCTGTCTCAAAAAAAAAAAAAAAATTAACAGAAACTTTAATGACACAAAGTAAATGAACAGCTTGGAACGTGAGCAATCCTATTGTACATTTTAAAAATGTAATGTTTCTGTTACTTCTCTATAGTTTTAGTTTTGCACACAGGGCTGGCTTGTCCTGGCTCATAAGTACACTACTGCTCACCAAGTGCCTGCTTAATTTTGGCAAGTTGGGTTAGACTCTTGCTACTCCAAGTTTGGTCCATGGACCAGCAACATCAGCATCACTTTGGAGTTTGTTAAAAGTGCAAGGTCTCAGGCCCCATCCCAGACCTGCTGAATGAGATTCTTCTTTTTTTTTTTTTTTTTTTTGAGACAGTCTCACTTTGTTGCCTAGGCTAGAGTGAGTACCATGGTGTCAGCCTAGCTCACAGCAACCTCAAACTCCTGGGCTCAAGCGATCCTTCTGCCTCAGCCTCCCGAGTAGCCTGGACTACAGGCATGTGCCACCATGCCCGGCTAATTTTTTCTATGTATATTAGTTGGCCAATTAATTTCTTTCTATTTATAGTAGAGACAGGGTCTCGCTCTTGCTCAGGTTGGTTTCGAACTCCAGAACTCAAACAATCCACCCGCCTTGGCCTCCCAGAGAGGTAGGATTACAGGCATGAGCCACCATGCCTGGCCTGAATGAGATTCTTCTAACAGGATCCTAGAGCAATTCAAATGCAAGTGAAAGTTTGTAAAGTGCAGGTCTGGACAGCTCTGGACTTTGGAGTCAGACAGATTTAGGTTCACATCTCTCTCCCTCTGTCCTTCCTGTCTGAACTTGGGCTCATTACTTACTCTCTAAATTTCTGCTTCCTCATCGATAAAACTGTGCCTGTTTCAAAGGTGTTGTTGAGTTGAAAGGATTAAATAAGGTAACATATATAGAGCACTTATAGTGCTAAGAACTCAATAAAAGGAAGCTGTTATTTCCCAGTAGAGCAAAGAGAGCTCTACTGTGATACATGGGGGGTGGGGGGGGTGGAGCACTGGATGGGCAGGCAGGGACTGCCTGTGACCTCCAGGGGCAGAGGGAACCCCAGCAATGGTAGCTTTCGGAGAAGAGCAGAATAGGTGTAGAAACACTTCTCACGGAGGGAATGAAGCAGTTCTAAGCCACCTTCCCCAGGAATGTGGACTGGATCTGCCTTTCTGTTAGATTCCCCAGGAAGCACTGGAGGCAGCTCTCCCTCGGGGCCTCTAGGCCTGCATGGAAAGCCGCCCGGCATGGCGGTGTAACACCCTGTCCCCAGCCCGCCCTCCCCACTGCTCTACCAGACACCCGCCCTTAGCTACTAATTACTCTGGGGAAACAGATGGGTAATGAATGCCAGCACCCAGCAGGGTTTAATCTCACTATGTTTTGTTGGTATTTACGCCCCAGTCTGTCTTTCATAACAACCATCTCTGCCCCACTTCTTAATTGGTCCCGGAAGTGCCCCAGAGGGAATCTGGAAGTGCCCCAGTCTTCCAGTTTCTGAGGCGTCCAGTGCCAAGGCCTCCTGTTTTCTCTCAGTGGCCTCCTCACCTAAACCCGGAAAAGTTAACTGTGGTGTTCCCTCACAGAAGTGTCCCTGCCCCTTTTACTATATTTCCTTCATTCTGTCTCCACATTTCTTCATACAAGTGTTTATTCTGTCTCAAAAGTTTACCCCCAGCCCCTGGCAGCCACTTCACCCCCACAGGGATGATCCATTGGGCAGAGTTGATTTGTACCACACTCTTCCTCCTCCAGCCCTTCCTAAGAGGCCCAGCTCCTCTGTAATGTCCCTGTTTAAAATCTTCCGCTATTACAGAGCACATTCTTCCATTTAGGAAAAAAAATTAAAAAATAAAATCCCACAATGCTGGTTTGGTGGCTGTCACCTATAGTCCCACCTACGTCAGAGGCTGAGGATCCCTTGAGGCCAGGAGTTCAAGACCAGAGATTCCATCTCTGCTATAGTACCAGAAATTAAAAAAATAAATCTTTTTATTTTTCCCCATTGCCCTCAAGAAAATGCACAAATTCCTCAACATGGCTGACAAAGCACTTGGTGACAGAGCCTGCTTTCTTCCTGGGTGTGGCTGGCCTCCTGCCTTTCTCTCTTCCCCTGTGTTCTGTTCTGACCTCACAACTCCTTTATACCGTCCCTCAGAGTAAGGACTTTAGGAGCCAGCTTCTTTCCGTAGGTTACACTGCATGTTCTGTCTCCTAACTTTCTTCAGCCTCTGATATTTGCCCCTTAGGATCTCAGCCTAAGCTTCCACTCAAACTCCTGCTGTATTTACAGGTCTGTGATCTCTTAACAAGAACCCTGAGAGCCAGATATTTCGGAGTCTGTCAGACTTTAGAAGCGTGCATTCTATGTTAGGTAAGGCCCTCAGCAGGGCCCAGACCAATATCCCATGGCCAAACACATTACTGTCTATGCAGTCACGTGTATGGAGAGCCATATAAAATCAGCTGAATAAAAACTTAAAATGTTCATCTGACATTTTTAATCTAAAAAAAAAAAACAAAAAAAAACAAACTTAAAATGGCCAGTTTAGGTCAGATTTTATTATCAAACGAATCGCCAAAAAACTTAGGGGTTTCAGAGTATTTTGGACTTGGGGACTGCTGATAAGGGAGTGTACACCTGTGTTACTGACAACTTATGCCATCCACCTGGTCCTTAGTGTGTATTATTCTGTGTCCTTTCTCTGATTGGTAAGTTCTTGTATCACTGTTTAATATTCTGCATGTCTCTCTTACCTCCCTAACGAGATGAAGAAACCCTTCCTAAGGGCGGGGGCTGTCTGTCTCTGGGTGCTGACACCATCCATTTAGCCAGTGTCAGCTTCTTTCCCTCCCTCCCTGCGCTGGGCCCACCCTGGCAGGCCTGTGGATCGGCTATGGTGGAGGGGCAGGGGCAGGCGGGAGGCGCAGGTTATAGAGTTGGAATCCATAGGTCAGGGAGGGATGTAGGGGGTAGACCAGACTCCCACCTCGTCCTTTCCTCCACAAGGGGCTCTCATACCTTTCTTCTAGAAGCAGAGCGTGGCCCTCAGCCTCCCTGGCTACAAACAGGCATATAGTTCTTTGGAAGGTATGTACCTGCATGACTCTCCTGTGGCTGCTGTAACCAATGCCCACAAGCGGGGAGGCTGACAACAGCAGGGATTTGTTCTCTCACTGTTCTGGAGCCCACACGTCTGCAATCAGTATCACTGGGCTGACACTAAGGTGTCAGCAGGGCCTTGCTCCTCTGCAGGCTCTAGAGGAGGACCTGTCCCTTGCGTCCTCGAGCTTCGGAGGCTGTCAGCGTTCCTGGGCGCTGTCTGCCTCTGTCTTCACGCCACTTCCCCCTCCCTGTGTGGGGTTAAGACTGCCTCCACGCGTGATGGCTTTTAGGGCCTGCCTGGCTAGTCCAGAATAACCTTCCCAGAGATTAGAACCTGATCTATCTGGGGGCCAGTTTTCAGCCTACTGCAGCACCCAAGTGTGGTGATGTCCACTGAAAACATTCTTGGATTTAACTTCTTTGGAGATTGTCTAAGTCCAGCTGTGTCACTGAGCAGGTTGGTGGCTGTGACTCTGGGAAAGTATTTTTCTAATCTTTTTTATTGGGACATACTAACATATAAAAAGTACACGGTAAAGGCACACCTGAGTAGACACCACCTGGGTCAAGAAAGGATATCACCCTCCCCTCCCCTGGCTCCCTCCTCCCCCACAGGCAAACACTACATGACTCTATTGTAATCACCCTTCTGCCTTTCTTTATCATTTTACTACCTAAGTCCACATCCCTAAATACTGCAGTTTTGTTTTGCTGTTGTATGGGAACATTTTTTCTTTTTTTTGAGACAGGATCTTGGTCTGTTGCCCAGGCTAGAGTATAGAGTTGTGGCCTCATCGTAGCTCACAACAACCTCAAACCCATGGGCTCAGATGATCCTCCTGTCTCAGCCTCCTGAGTAGCCGGGACTACAGGCATGCGCCACCACGCCTAGGTAATTTTTCTATTTTTAGTAGATACGGAATCTGGCTCTTGCCCAGGCTGTTCTCAAATTCCTGAACTCAAGGGATCCTCCCACCTCAGCCTCCCAGAGTGCTAGGATTACAGGCATGAACCACACCTGGCCTATAATGTTTTATTTAAAGATCCAATTGTCCCAGTACTATTTACCAAAAAGCCAACTTTTTCTGCTGCTCTGTGGTATCATCTTTCTCTAAGGTGTACATGCATTTATGAGTTTGAATCTGAGCTTTTTCTTCTACTCTATTGATCTATTTCATTCATTCTCTTGGTGGTGTAAATATCTTCAATACTACAGTGGCTTGTGGCTCTCCAAAGGGCCATATGTGGTACTTCTGTAGTATTAAATTTTCACAGGACCTATACACAAATGTTCATAGTTAGTTCTGTCCATAACAGCCAAAATTTAGAATCAATTGTGTCCTTCAAATGGCAGTTCAACAAATGGTGGTACATCCATACCGTGGAATACCACTCAGCAATAAAAACTGTTAGTGATACATTGAGAACAACTTGGATGGGTCTCAAAGGAATTATGCTGAGTGAAAAAAGCCATAAGGCCAGGCGCAGTGGCTCATGCCTGTAATCCTAGCACTCTGGGAGGCCAAGACAGTGGATCGCTCGAGGGCAAGAGTTTGAAACCAGCCTGAGCACGAAGCGCAGACCCATCCTCTATAATAAAGTAGAAGCTTCATTACACTAAATACTATTACGCAAGTAGACGAGCATGGTGGCGATGCCTGTAGTCCCAGCTACCCGGGAGGCTGAGGCAGGCAGCTGCTTGAGCCGCAGGAGTTTTGGAGGTCATGCGGTGATAGGCTAATGCACGGCACTCACACTCATAGCTGGCACAGAGAGACGACTCTATCTCACAAAAAAAAAAAGCAAAAAAGCTCTTCAAAAGTTACATATTGTATGATTCCATTTATAGTACCTGTAACATTCTTGGACTAGGTACGATTATGGCTACAGAGCTGAAGGCTAGGGGCTGGTGGAGGGTTATCCCAGGGATGCAATGCACCCCGCGCAAGTGTGTAGTGGGGCTGTTCTGTGTCCGCAAGGCGTGGTGGCTTGTTACCAGAGTCTGCTCTTGATGAGACTTGGGCATATAATTAAGCACACCCCCACAACTGGAGTACCTGTGACATTCATTTCATGACAAAAATCTGACAGTCTGTGGATTGTACCAATGTCAATTTCGGGATGCTCCCTGTGCTATACAGTTACTCTTATGCGCTACACATTTTCATAATGGTCCGGCAACCCAAAACAAAAAAGTGCTACCATTCGGGTTACTCTGGGACACTTGGGGCGCATGCTGGACTCCTGCTAGATAAGATACCCTCCTCGCATGATAGATAGCGATACCGATACAGTAGCCTTCCCTTGTATGAAGTGTTTAAACAAAAAGTTTAAGTATTTTTTATGGAAAAAGGTGTAACTCCAGGAAAATATCTTAAAAAGCTCTCTGGCCGCGGGCGCTGGTAGCTCCCTGCGTATCTACTCTCTGGGAGCGAGGGGCGATTGCTCAGATGCAGGATTCAAACCAGCTGGAGTGAGACCCATATCTACTAAAGAACTAGAAATACCATCTATTGGCCACTGAATACATAGAGAAAAATTAGCCTGGGCATAGTGGTGCAAACACCCGCCTGGGTAAAAAGTTCCCACAAAGCTTCACTCCGGACGGGGGTTTGGGGGAAAAAAAAAAACAAAAAACGGGCAGTACAAAACGATCAACCTTTGAGCAGGGATTGAGGTTTGCTCGTGAGCTAGGCTGATGCCGGCGCTCACTCTAGCCTGGGCCCAACAGTGAGACTCGTCTCCTAAACTAACCGAATAGCCAATAAATACAAATTAGCCGTGCATGGTCCGGCACTGCTGTAGTCCAGCTTACTCGGGATGCTGCAGGCACAACGGATCACTTGCGCCCAGGAGTTTAGAGGTCTGCTGTGAGCTGCTGATGGCGAGCGGCACTGTATGCCTGGCAACAGAGACTCAGTCTTGACAAAAAATTTTTAAATAATAATCAACAATAAAAATAAACGACTCATGGGGACACAAAAGATTCACGCTGGGTATCCCCGGGCTGATGGCACCCGCAGTGCCAGTACTACCATGCTGCAGGCTGAGGCACGGAGGGATTGCCGTGAGCCCAGGAATTTGACGGCTGCAGTGAGCTCATGATGGTAGCCCTGCACTGCTCAGCCCTGGACCCACAGAGCAGCCTGTCTCAGAACAAAGCAAGATTTGAAGGAAGAAGAGAGAACACTGAGCGACTCTGTTCGCGGCTCGGAGTGGCAGCTGCTATCAGCTACTCTCCAGCGCAACAGTCAAACTCCTGGCGCTCAACCAGCCCCGAAGCGATCTCTGCTCACTCCGGGTCGCCCTGGGACTACAGGCATGCGCCACCATGCCCGGCTAATTTTTTCTGTATATTTTTAGTTAGCCAATTAATTTGTTTCTATATTTAGTAGAGACGGGGTCTCGCTCTTGCTCAGACTGGTCCTGAACTCCTGAGCTCAAATGATCCTCCCACCTCGGCCTCCCAGAGTGGTGGGATTACAGGTGCGAGCCACCTTGCGCCAGGCCTAAAGTTCATTTTGAAATAATCAGATTAAGTTACTCCATGCAATATCTGCTTCTCTGTTACTTCCAGGAAACAAATCTGACCTCTGGGAAAAGCGGCACGTCCTGTTTGAGGATGCCTGCACACTGGCTGAGAAGTACGGCCTCCTGGCTGTGTTGGAGACATCAGCCAAGGAGTCCAAGAACATAGACGAAGTCTTCGTGCTCATGGCCAGGGAGCTGATCGCCCGCAACAGCCTGCACCTGTTCGGGGAGAGCACCCTGAGCAGCCTTCCCCTGGACTCCAGCCCCATTCTGATGGCCCCGGGGCCGAGTGAGAAGACCCACTGCACCTGCTGAACGTGTTCACGGGGCCAGTTGCACCCACCAAAGAGGCCATCTCTGAAACAAAAGGTAGCCAGACAGCCTCGTGTCTCCCGAGCTGCGCTTCAGACCCAAGTGTAGTCCCACTGCTTGTCCCTAACCGTTCCTGCCTGGCTGGGCAGCACCTTCGCCTCCATTCACTCCAGATGTCATAGCCGCTGACTCTGAGGAAAGGGGACGTTATCGTTTTCCTTGGTTCCTGGTGAAGCCAGGCCTGCAGGCATGGACGTGGGAGGGACGGGGTGTGGGCCTCTCCCCTTTCCCTTTCTGTCTCCCCAGCACCTTCCCTGCTTTCTACTCAAGTTTGCTTCTTGCTTGAAGAGGGTAGTGACAGAAAGAAGGGAGGAGGAATATCAATCAAGAGGTGGGGAGAACGTTTGGAACATTCTGGAGCAGTTTGAAACAGTGCAGGCAGGGAGGATGGGACAAAAGCCTGCAATGAGAAGCCAGGATGCTGTTGTGGCTTTGTTTCCCGACATTCACTCAGGTGTTCACTCTGGAGAGTGAGGCCTTTTAACATAAACACTAGACATGCCATCTTCCCAGACGGTCGGGAACCCTCTCGTGGAGTTGGAATTGGATTTCACTTTATCCGAGTGGGGCTGATTTGGCCACCCTTCTGGGGACATAAGAGATGCCTACATTTTCTTTCTTTCTTTCTTTCTTTCTTTCTTTCTTTCTTTCTTTCTTTCTTTCTTTCTTTCTTTCTTTCTTTCTTTCCTCTCTCCTTCCTTCCTTCCTTCCTTCCTTCCTTCCTTCCTTCCTTCCTTCCTTCCTTCCTTCCTTCCTTCCTTCCTTCCTTCCTTTCTTTCTTTCTTTCTTTCTTTCTTTCTTTCTTTCTTTCTTTCTTTCTTTCTTTCTTTCTTTTTAGGGTAGGGGGACAGAACAGGCTCTCGCTCTGTCACCCAGCCTGGAGTGCAGTGGCACAATCATAGCTCACTGTTAAACCTCGAATTCCTAGGCTCAGGTGATCCTTCTGCTTCAGCCTCCTGAGTAGCTGGGGCTAAAGGCACGAGCCACCACACCCGGCCATTTTTTAAAAATTTTTGTAGAGAGGAGTCTCACTATTTTGGCCCAGGTTGGCCTAGAACTCCTGGGCTCAAGTGATCCTCCTGCCTTGGCCACCGAAGTGCTAGGATTACAGGCATGAGCCACCACGGCCAACCTACAATTTCTAAAGCATCAAATCATCTGCTGGATCAGAAATCATTTCTGAGTAGAAATTAAATTGGCTCACAGATGAATATCAAATGAGTGTTGCACTGCCCTTCTCCAAGGTGTGGCCAGAGGGCAGCTGGAGCCTGTGGGGAGGGCGGAGTAACCCCAGCTTTCAGAACTAAAAGCATAAAAAGAGACTAGAAGGTACTAGGCGCCCCATCCCCGGGACTGTGTTAGGGAGGACTTCAGAGCAGGTGGCAGGTAGTGGGCAAGGGAACCCCTTTGGGCCTTGAGGTCTGGGCCCACCGGGAGCAGTGGACGTCCACCCGACAGGGACTCCAGGAATATGAACCCTGCCCAGCTGCCATTTATCGGGCTGCTCTGAGGGTCAGAAGTTGTGCTTGGCCCGTCGGGAATGAATGATCCCTTGGTTGCCAGCTCCAGTGCAGGAGAAAAGAGGCACCAACTGCATTCTGCTGCTCTCCCCCCACACCCTCGGCTTTCCGTGTCCTCTCCCTGGCTCTATTCTCGGCACCCCGGGCTGGTATCAGGATACCACGCGGCCCCAGACATGGCCCTACTGGCCTCCAGAGGGAGGAAGCCATTTCTAAGCTCTCCCTCTGCCCTTCCCCCTGCCCTGTGCAGGTCTTCTGCTCACCTCTAGTTATCCTGCTCCTGAGACATTTCTTGGTCCCCGAGGAGTCCTAGGGAGGAGGCAGAATTTAAATTCCTTCCTTCAGGACCCATCTGCAAACTAAACCAACCAACCACAGAGGACAAGGGCAAAGCTCCAGAGTGGATAGTGTGTTCTCAGCTCCTCCCCGTCAGGAAGCATTCTTGGTTCTTCCCGGTTAAGGTCCCTTCTAGAAACTCCTTGTCTTGCAACAGAGTCTTCATTCCCTGTTGCTTGGTCTATTCCTGAGGAATGCGTGAACCAGTGTGTTCCGCGTGTGTCCCAATCCTGGCATGGGGGCCAGGAACAGGCACCCCCAGAACATGGGCTGGCCAGGCTCACCTGTGGGGACAACGCTTTCAGACCCCAGCTCTCCTGCGAGCAAACCTCCCTTAGGAGATCTGAGGTCAGAGATCAAAGCCAGCCTACAGTCCTAAGTCTTCCCTGAGGCATCTGCATGTTAATGGGAATCAAAGACTAACCTAAAGAGATACAGCTTGAGGCTGGGACTTCAGCCCACTGGGAGAGAAGCTTCTGGGGAGAAGGTGGCCTTATGGTGACCCCTGAGATCACCCACTGGGACAGCCCTACTGGCAGATTATTTTCCCCCTCCACAGGTATCCTTCACTCTAGGTCTCAGAGATGGTGTTAAGAGGGGACAGAGATGGCTGCATGGTGCAGGGGGAAGGGGACAGTTCCAGGGCTGGTTCAGGGATGGGACAACTCCACACCAGACACTGGCCACCTGAGCAGCTCCACTAAACAAGCAGCAGTTCCATCCGATGACCTCATTGTTGCTGGAGTTTCTGCCCTTTCTCAACAGGACCCTCCTCTTCCTCACTTCGTTCACAGAGGGGAAGCCCTGAGACCAGCTACAGAACCCTGGCTTCCGAGCTAATATTAGGAACTTGCATTAAAGTTCTGAGAGTGACCTCGACCTTGTCCACGTGTACTTCCTCACTCCCCAAACCATCTCCACCCAGGACAGCTTCTAATGGAAAGGCCAACTTTCGAAGTCTGTCACCAATACAGAGCCAGCCCCTCATGTCCGGGTGCATGGACTTGGCAGCATGGCATGTGCCCAGCCCCACCCACTTATTCAGTCAACAAGCCAAGGCAGGTGCTGGCTGCCCATTGTCACCCACTGGCGCAGGCCTAGCTTGTGGTGAATGGTGATGGTATGAGACTCAAACTTCTAGGCGTAGGCTGCAGCTCTTGTCACTGTGTATCCTTGGGCCAGTCACACACCTCTTTGAAGATACAGTTGCTTAAATAGACTCTTGTGAGGAGCAAAAGGAAAATGGCCCTCAAAATGTTTTAGAAGTGGCCAAGCGCGGTGGCTCATGCCTGTAATCCTAGCACTCTGGGAGGCTGAGGCAGGAGAATAGCTTGACCTCAGGAGTTCCAAGACCAGACTGAACAAGAAACCCTGTCTCTACTTAAAAAAAGTAGAAAAAATTAGCTGGGTAACTAAAAATAGAAACAAAAAATTAGCCAGGCATGGTGGTGCATTCCTGTAGTTCCAGCTACTCAGGAGGCTGAAGCAGGAGGATCGCTTGAGCCCAGGAGTTGGAGTTTGCCGTGAGCTAGGCTGATGTCATGGCACTCTAGCCTGGGCAACAAAGTGACATTCTGTCTCAAAAAAAAACAAACAAACAAACAAAAATGCTTTGAAAGTATAAAAAGCAAGACAAAGTCAATATGGAATTACAGTCTTCATAATAATTCAGCAGATATTGGGGAAGGGGCTAGAACTGAACCTCAGTCTCAACACTTCATTTGGTATTTAAGGCTTTACCCCTGGGAAAGGTTGGCAAAGGGGTGCATTTCCCCCATGGCCTGCTAGTCCCTTGAGAATAAAATCCTTCTCTATTTATTCCATGTCTTGGCACAAATACTCTTTGACGGCACAAAGGAATTCTTGAAGGCCGGGCGAGGTGGCTCAGGCCTGTAATCCTAGCTCTCTGGGAGGCCTAGGCGGGCGGATCCTTTGAGCTTGGGAGTTCGAAACCAACCTGAGCAAGAGCGAGACCCCATCTCTACTATAAATAGAAAGAAATTAATTGGCCAACTAATATATATAGAAAAAATTAGCCGGGCATGGTGGCGCATGCCTGTAGTCCCAGCTACTCGGGAGGCTGAGGCAGAAGGATCGCTTGAGCCCAGGAGTTTGAGGTTGCTGTGAGCTAGGCTGATGCCATGGCACTCACTCTAGCCTGGGCAACAAAGTGAGACTCCGTCTCAAAAAGAAAAAAAAAAAAAAGGAATTCTTGAAAAACTTTTCTCACCTGAAAATGCCTATGTCAAAGCATTGTCTTCACAAGAGATGATGGCAAAAGACTTCCTATCTTTCCATGGAGCAGGCCGCACTGAACCACCTGTGTCCAGCCTTGAAGAGTAGTCCAGCCTTGAGGCTGGTCCCTGCCCCTCAGCCTGCCAAGGTCTCTCCCACCGTAACTTCGCACGTACGGTGTGAAGTTCTCGGGTGGTGTCTCTTCAGAAGGAAGGTCCGAGAAGTCTTTCCTGCCCCTATTCCAAGCTCTGTGCCCTTCAGACTCCCGAAAGGATCTTTCACGGCTACCAGCACTTTCTGACGAACACCATTTCTAGAATGGTTTCCTAACAGGTTCTAAGATGAAACCACAAGTGGCTACTGCAGCACACTTGCCAGGCCACTGGACCAGAGGAACATGGGACTGACGGGTGAGGCCTCGGAATGCCGGGCTAGGGGTTCCACCATCTCACTCTGACTTTGCTGTGGGTGTGTAATCCTAAGTCTCCGGGGGAAGCGGGCTCTATTGTGAACCTTGGGACAGTGAAAAGAGTGAGGGGACAGCTGCCAGCTCAGCACCTGACTGCCCATCTCAGGCCGACTAAGGCTTAGATAGAGTTTGGGGTGGAGAGCCAGGGTTTTCTGAAAACAGCATTTTCACAGCCAAACCCTCTGACGCTTCTTGACAAATCCATTGACCAAGATGTGATCTTGAAAAACTCCCTCTGTCGAGGCTCCTGCCTTGTGTTATTTAAATATTCCCCCATTGCTCCTGGAACAGTGTTCAAGACTTTCTCTGTTCCTCAATTTGGTTTCTTCTGACCCACTGCGAACTAGCTTCCTTTTTCCTCTAAAATTCTTCTCAACAAAATCTCCAACCTCTCCCGCTAAATCCCATGGTTGCTTCCTGGTCCTTATTTTCCTTCTCTCCAGACGGCATTGGGTGGCTCTGACCCATTCTTCCATCTTAATTTGACCCTTGACTTACCTAACGCTCAGGCTGTCCTCCTGCCTTCCGGCCCCTCCACCCCTGTCTCCTGGGTGCCCCTCACCCTGTGCCTGTCCTGTAGCTGCTCTCGGTCCCCACCACCTTCCCCAGGGGCTCTCACAAACACTCCGGCAGCCTCTGTGACCCTCTGGGCGCTGAGGACTCCCACATCCCCACCACAGCCTAGTTCTCTCCCGTCAGCTCCAGGGTCCCACGGCCACTATGCCCCCCGGGCAGTGTCCACACTCGGCCCTTCCCTCAAAGCTGCTCACCCTTCCTGGCTCCAGACTTCACTATGACACTGTCCACTCTGTGGTCTAAGCTAAAAACCTCAGTGTCTACCTCTGTCCCTACCTCCTCGGCACCTTTTGCATCTGAGCAGTGGCAGAGTCTTTTCGGTTCTAACTGGACAGCTCTCAAACCCACCCGCGGCTGCGGCCTTAGCTCTGCCACCAGCATCTCTAGGCTGGATTTGTGCCACAGTCGCCTGACCAGAGGTCTTGCTCCTGCCAGTGAATTTTCCACCCAGCAGACAGAGCACTCCAAACAAAGGAGGCTGATCACATGGCTCCCCTGATTAAGACCCTTCTGCGGCTCTCCAGGGTCCTAAGGACC